GTACTATCTGTCTTCACTGTGGGAGCGACGTTGGCCCACCTAATGTGGTGCCCCTGAAAGTGAGGTCAGCAAAATTGCCCTGTATATACCTGAATTGGCGGATGTTAACACAGGTGGGCATTGAAAAGAAAAAATTTAAATTCCATGTTTCTGAATTTTAAATATAATTGAAAAACAAAATTCACAATTTGTTTACAATTTTACTCATTTAGATTCATTTTTAGAGCTTACGGTATACCCTAGTCTAGTATACAGACATACACACGAAAGTTTTATTATATTAATTGCTGAACCTTTCGGTGGCTTTACGTTATGATATTAAGCAAAACACTTTTTGGTATTTCATTCCATCAAAATATAGACTAACTGTATTCGATATCATCTGGCATAATATTGTTGTTAGAGGAAACTCGTGATATTTAAAATTTTTCACAATCAAGCTTATAACAATATCCTGTACTTATATCATTCTGCCGATCATATTTTGCAATCAAAAATTGCGTTGTTTGAAAAAAATATGTAAAAATTTGTATACCCTACAATTCAAAATCTTTTCAATTATTACAATTATTTTACAGGATGTCAACGATTGGAATAAACGCTATTACTAGATTTGTTGAAAAAATTTATTGATTCAAATCAAAGTAAAGAAAGAAAGAAACTACAAGTTTGAGTACTAAGAGTTAAAACAATAATTTTTAAATTAATTAAATAATTTAAAAAGTTTATCTAAGCATTATTAAATATACTGATTAATAACTTTAAAAAAATTAATACTTCAGAAAGTTCAATTCAATAATTCAGAATTGTTCAGTTCAATAATACAGAAAGTTAACAATTTTATAGAAACAATGCAGAGAACAAATGTTAAGTGCCTTTCTAATATCTTGAGTTAGTATTTACTGTCAGAATGCATTCGTATAAAGATTTTTTTCCCCTTGGCAATAAAACGTCACATTTTAGAACTTAAAATTTACATTAATGAGAAATTGTTGTAACTTATGTTGCTAAATAATATCTTATAAGTATGTGTGCAATTTACAACAACCTAAAAATAACATTGTTTGTGACTTGCCAGAAACATGAAATTTTGAAGTTCAATTAAATTTTTTAACTATACAAAACAGGCAATGCTAGTGCAAAGTCATTTTAAAATGCTAACAGCAATGCTATTTATTAATTTTTTTAAAAAAAAGTTCTTTTAGTATTATAGTATTAGATCTTGGAACAAGGGACAGTGAATTGTCATATTTCGTGGGAATCACCCACATATATATGCCCATGGTAGCTTATAGAGCCTGTGTGGACAAAAACAATCTTTTTTAAGAGAAAAATATACTATGTGTCGAATATTATATTTAGTATTTTCTTTTCTATTTTTAAAAATATTGTCCAAAATTGCTCTTTCTCTCTTTCCTTTTATGACAAAAGGAACTTCGTTTTTCACACAGATGAGTAGATTCGAATATCTGTTCTTGCCGATTCCAGAGCTGACATAAAATATTCAGCAGTGATATAAGCGAGTTTAGAGGTCAGAATCTTACATCGTTTGATTAACCATGAGAGGCTTTTGTGTCTTATTTTCCTTTGTAACGAAACTACAAGTTAGCATCAAGTAAAAAAAAGCCCTCAAAGGAAGGGAAAATTTTGCAATTCAGTTATAAAAGAAGATTAAAAATTTAATTTAAAAACTGTACTTAATTCAAAAGAAATATTGAACTTTAGAAAGTTCAATTTAAAAATTGAGTAACTAAAAAAAATATGTACAATGCCGAAGTTCCGTAGTCAAAGTGTTAAGTTTGGAATTTCAATATCATCAGACTAACCTTGAAAACTTTTGTAGTTTGTTTTTGCGTGTAATGCAACATCAGGTTAGTATCCCGTCGAAGAAAAAGAAATTCTCAAAGGAAGGGAATCTTTCTTGTGCTTAATTATTCAAAAAAAACTTAAAACTTTATTTTAAAATTGAACTTAGTTTTGAATAAAACCTTTGAACTTGAAATTTTTTTTTTTGAAGCTGAACTTTTAAAAATATGAGTTCTATGCTTAAGCTAGTTCTCATAGACTTTTTCTTATAGAATTTCGGATGTTTAATTCAATTTCGTGAAGAAGAAAAAATTTATTAGCTGATCTTAGCTTAAAAAAATTTTAAAAAAGTATTAATAAATACTTAACGTAAAATTCGAACATTAAAAACAACCAATTTAAAAATGAAAAAAAAAAAAATTTAAATAATTGCAAATTGTATATAAATATTTTTATTTCCAATGGTCATAAACAATAGAATCAATGCTGGTTACTCCCAATATTTGGAAGAAATTAATAACATTTTTTTAAACCTACAAGCTTAGTTTATGTACAAAGAAGAAAATAAGTAAATAAACGGACCATTCAGGATAACTTTTGGTCAAATGATCGGATTTTCATGTTGTAGGACTCATTCTTAATAGTTCGAGGGGGTGGCTTCAAACATGCTAATTAATAAGTGCAGACGATATTTTAAGTTACGAAATCAGACCCAAAAACGTACAAAATATGGGGGGTAGTCGCAGTCTGAAAAATATAGTCTAAATAGTTTAGTCAGGAAAGTGATCTAAAGTTTGGACAACTTAATGTTAATTTCACTTTTTGCGTATTTCGCTATATCTCGAGAACTTCTTAAACGAATTGCAAAATTTGTACACAAAATTATGAAGTTTGTTTATCCAAAGATAATTCCATACAAAAAATAACTTTCGGTAAATATTTATTATTTTTTGTTATTTTATTTAATAATAGTCGAAAAAATTGTGAATTGTAAAGTTTACAAATACGCAAGTAGTAAAATGAACAGGTCCAAATTTTGAAGTATTCTCCTGATCAAACTATTCGGACAATATTTCCCAGATTGCGGTTACCCCCTATACTTTGGGGAGCAGAAATCCGAATCCGTCGAAAAAAAGGTATGTTTATTCAGAGAAAGTATGTTTTTGTGTCAGATTTCATAACTTAAAATATCGTCTGCACTAATTAATTAACATATTTGAGGTTACCCACTCGCATCATTAAGACTGAATCCTAGAACAGGAAGATCCGATCATTACTTCAAAAGTTATTCAGTTCGTTAAGAGTCCGTTTCTTTTTTGGCACACTGTACTTTTCTTTGCACTTCACACAGAAGCAAGCTAAAATTACCATAAAATTTTGATATATTAAATCATTTGACAATCCATGACATAAATTATGCAAATTATACACAAAAAAAAGAATAAAAATTACCTCAATATTAACACAATTTTAACACTACTTGTAAAAAATTGTGGGAAGTAATTCTCTATTTTTTTTTTATTCTGCATTCTGTAAAATAATGTCGTTTGTCAAATTCAAATTTTGAGTTTTAACTTTTATTTTTATCTGAGTAATTTTAAATACAAATGAGATAAACATGAAGATTTAATGAGAGATCACAAATCTTTATTCTTGAGAAAACACACAATCAGTGAAATGACCCTGGGCGGGGATTCTAAACAAACCACCAGTGGAAATATAGTTTGTCTACAGTAAGAACTCCCCCCACTACGAAGCCTGAGGCCGTCTGCTGCTATGGAAACAAGAATTTCAGGGAGGGTAGCTTCTCTTCCCTCTATGGCTAACACAATAGAAGAAAAATATTCCCCTTCTCTCACAGATCCGACGAAAACTTGTCCTATACAATGATCCCATACCCCTACTTGAATAGATAACTTCAAACGATCAAAAGACATTTTGCCCTTGGGCGGGGAAAAGAATGCGAGTGGTCAAATGAGGAGAGGGTACGGTCATCAATGAATGCAAAAGAGAAAAGAGGGTAGGGTGACGAAATAGAGGGGGAAATTCCAGTTCTCTCCGGGGGTCGAAGGAATGTGTTTACCTTCTGGTCATTTTTCTTGTCTTCCTGTCTAAAGAAATGTCTTAAAATGTATCTTTTTTCAAAAGAAAAAAAAATGAAACTGACCATATAACCGGTAACTCGAAAAATAGGATGACCATATAAGCAGTGAGCTTTAACACGTGTTTCCTATTAAGTTAGACGGGACTTTGACCATATAAGCGGGGTGACCATATAGGCGGTACTGACTGTACCTCGTTACCATAGTCACTGCCACGGGTCCGGACGAATGGTTAGGGGAGTTCTTACTTTAGACAAATATAGAACTTTCGCTGTTATGTCATATCGTCCACTGTTTTAAACTTTGGTATTCTGAGGGCAGGTTTCCGAAGAGTAAAAAAAGGGACTAGTCTATTTTATGTATAGAGTAAGGGAGAATTTTCTTCACGTCTATTAATTAGCCAATGAAAATGCTCAAAGCACTATGGCGCTATGTCTTAAACCTCGACAACGGTCGTTCGAATATACATAATTCGGAAAACAACAGTAAAGGATCATCAGATTTACTTGAAATAGTGTTGATTATTGATAAATTTTTAATGTTTCCTCTATAAGTATTTTTTAATTTTGAATGATAAATTTCAACTAGAATTCCGCTATTCTGTTTCTTAAGTTACGTATTGAAATTCATATCGAAACCTGTTTTATAGTAAGGTATGCCATCTTAAAGTTGTGAAGGGAAAATCTATGTATATATTATTTGAGAATAACATTTTTAAGTTAAAGAACAGTTTGTTTTGGATTCTCCGGACTTATAAAGCGCCCTGGGTGGTGACCGGGGTGTAAGAATCTAGTCCCAACGTAGATCATGCGTGTCGTAGAAGGCGACTAAAATGGGCACCCTGCCCCTGGGAATTATATCAGGGGACTGGCCCTCCAGGTTGGGGGTTGGGCGGAGGGCTAACAACCCTACCCTGTAAAAAAAATCTTGTTGCGAAGTCTCAAGTCAATGAATCCGGACAGAAATTTAGTAGACGACCTGGCAAATCTTACATGGAACTGAGAATCGGAACATGGAACATTCGCTCTTTGTATAAAAGGAAAAGGGCTGCAACTCTTAACGGAACAGCTGGATAATTACAGGGCTGATGTAATGGCTCTGCAAGAGATGAGGTGGCTTAACGATGGAATAATCGAGAATAGAAATCACACAATCTTCTATAGCTGTGATAAGAAGAGGCATATTTTTGGAACGGGTTTTGTTGTGGGCAAACACATTCGGCATCTTGTCATGGATTTCGTGCCAAAGTCTTCAAGATTGTGTAAAATTAGGCTAAGAGGAAAATTCTTTAATTACAATCTTATAAATGCCCACGCACCTACAGAAGACAAGGATGAAGACGAGAAGGAACTTTTCTATGAGAACCTGTATTTTTTATATAACTCCTGTCCACAAAACGACATCAAAATTATTCTGGGTGACTTAAATGCTAAAATTGGAAAGGAAGCTGAGCACAGGCCCACTATTGGAAAATACAGCCTGTACGAAACAACAAATGGCAATGGACAGAGGCTCATTCACTTCGCTGCAGAACATAGCATGGTCATATCCAGCACCTTTTTCCAACACAAGAGAATTCACCAAACGACCTGGAGATTACCAGATGGAGATACCTTCAACCAGACCGACCATATATTGATAGACTCTAGACATATGACGGACATACAAAATATTAGAACCTATCGTGGGGCCAACTTTGACTCAGACCATTACATGGTAATGAGTAGGATCAAGGCCAAACTATCTAATGCACGTAAATGTCATGGGAAACGTCTTGAGAAATTTGACTGCGAACAATTAAAGATCCCTAGAGTCAGGGATGACTCTCAGTCACAACTAACTATGAAGCTTGATGAAAAAGCAATCGAAAATATTGATTGCATAGATGGAAAGTGGACTTCTTTCAAAGAAGCCCTATTGGACACATGTGATAATGTAATAAGCAAAATAAAAAGAGCTGAGAAAAAGGATTGGTTTGATACAGAATGTCGCAACGCGAACCAAAGAAAAAACGATGCATATAATATGATGTTCAGTATAAAACATTCGAGAACATCTGTAGAGAAATACAAAACTGCAAGAAGAGAAGAAAAGAAAGTTCATAGGTTGAAGAAAAAGGTTCTTCACGAAGACCTCTTCAAGGATGTCGAACATCTCCGAGGGTCTAATGAGAGCAGAGCTTTCTTTCGTGACATTAACTTTGGTCGTCAGGAGTTCAAACCTAGAACTAACCTTTGCAGAAATAAAGATGGAGATATTTTAAGCAATAAAACTAACATTCTTAATAGGTGGAATGAACACTTCGACAACCTACTTAATGTAAAGTGCGTTCAGACAGAGTCCTGCTCACCAAACGTTAACCAAGAGTGTATTGCTCCTCTTTCAATGATTGAGGTTGAAGAAGCAGTTCAAAAACTTAAGAACAACAAGGCTCCTGGCCCAGATTTGATATCACCAGAATTCATCAAAAACTCAGGACCAGATGGGTTAAAGCCATACATAATATTCTAACATCAGTATGGGAAAAAGAGATACTCCCGGAAGAATGGAAACACAGTACTGTTTGTCTTATACACAAAAAAGGAGACATTCTTGAATGTTCTAACTACCGGGGTATCAGCCTGCTCTGCACCGCATATAAAGTCTTTTTAAAAATTCTATTTAACAGACTTGCCCCTATGTAGAAAACATCATTGGTGAATACCAGTGCGGTTTTAGGAAGGGCAGGTCTGCAACTGACCAAATATTTAGCATAAGACAGATTCTGGAAAAGACCAGGGAATTTGGAATTGGTACCCACCACCTATTTGTGGATTTCAAAACTGCTTACGACAGTGTAAACCGGAAGCGACTCAGTGAAGCTATGCGAGAATTCAATATCCCGGACAAGCTTGTACGACTCACCACACTTACACTGTGTAAGACCATGCAGAAAGTTAAAATCCAAAATGACTTCTCGGAACCAATGGAGGTAAAAAATGGTGTAAGGCAAGGCGATGCATTGGCATGCCTACTCTTTAATTTGGCATTAGAAAAAATTATCAGAGATTCAGGAATCAATACCAGAGGACATATCTTTCATAAGTCTGTCCAAATTTTCGCTTTTGCCGATGACATTGACATCATAGCTCGAACACAATCTGACTTAAAGCAAGCCTTTCTATCCATGGAAAAAGAGGCAGAAAAAATGCATCTCACTATTAACCAGGAGAAAACCAAGTACATGCAATGCACCAAAATAACTGATTCTACAACTCACTTGCAAATTGGTGAATACAAGTTTGAAAAAGTAAACAGTTTTGTTTATCTTGGTTCTGAAGTCAACGTTAATGGCAATATCGCACCCGAAATACAAAGAAGAATCAATAGTGCAAGTAAATGTTTCTATGGATTAAAAAAATATTTAAAATCAAACCTACTAAAAAGAGATACTAAACTGTTAATTTATAAATGCTTAATCAGACCTATCCTAACATATGCCTCAGAAACTTGGACAACAACACAGAAAGATGAGAATTCCTTGGGAATCTTCGAACGTCGGATCCTAAGATCCATTTTTGGGGGCAAACAAGTTGATGGTACTTGGTACAGACGTTCAAACTCAGAACTCTATCGGGCCCTTAGAGAGCCTGATGTTGTCAAGTATGTAAAAATTCAAAGAATTAAATGGGCTGGTCACATCATTCGAATGAACAGAGAGCGTCCGACAAACATAATCTTTTCGGCTCAGCCCATCGGATCAAGGCCCAGAGGTCGACCAAAGCTGAGATGGGCCGACTGCGTGGAAAGAGACTTTTCAGTCTTAAAAGTCTCAAACTGGAAGACAACTGCCAGGCGGAGGCAGGCTTGGAGGAAGTTGATTGAGAAGGCCAGGGTCCACCCGGGGCTGTCGTGCCATTGAGGAAGGAAGGAAGGAGTTATAAAGCAGGTAAGTGTTATGATTTTGTAATAAACAATGTACTTAGAAATAATTGTTTTTTCTCATTTGATGATAGTTTTATACAAAATGATTTTCTACGTCTGAAACTTTAAGATTGAAAGAAAAAAAATCAACTCAAAAAAGTTTTTCAATTCAATATGAGGAATTTTTAGGGTCAATTTTTTATAATAAAGATTCTTTATTTTACGTTTTTTAGATTTAAGTAATGAGTTTTTTTTAATGAAAATTGAAACTTTTCTGCAAAAATTGTAGTCAAAAAGCTTGTTTTTCAAAATTAAATCACATAAGATTATATGCGTCTGTATACTTAACATATTTTAATGTTTGAAGTAATTTGATTCAGAAAATTATGGGATGTAAAGTTTAAATAGACTATTCATATTAGATCATTAAATTTAGTAGAGCAATTTCTTGAGAATTAGGATTTCTCTCTTATCAGAATATCGATACTTTTTTGTTGTTGTTTATTTACAAATATTTTTCCAATGCGTTTCAGATATTCCTTCCTTAAAAAAAGATATTAAATTTCGAGATCTATTAATACTATATTGTCAAATGCATAAGAAGGAATATCAAAAAAATTTTATTTTCAAATTTAATAAGCCACAATAAAAAAGGGACGTAATGAAGAACTCTCCTGAGCGACTGAACGTGTTGTTCTCCTAGCAGCCATTCGTCTCAAATAACAGAGCCCTCTATAGGTCGTTGCTTTCGCGAATCTCAAATTTCTAACGTCAGAAACAACGAAATTCACAGGCTTGCGATCAAATATGCAATTTTATGCTCATTGCAGATGACGTCATTCCATTACAGAGCCACTAATTTACACGTTGCAGTTTGCCAGTTTTACTTAGCAACTCTTATTTGACAAGGTATTCAAATTTCATTGGGATTCGCTATTTTTGCAATTTTTCCTTAATTTATGATAATCGAACGAAATTAATTTGCGGTACATATTAATAATAATAGGACGTAATTAATTTGCGTCCTATGCGAACTTTCCTCTCTTTTCCTTCAAAATTTTAACCCCTTACAGTGGTATTAAATTCTGAAATTTATTTTATTATATGTGTTTTTTTCTCTTTACCTTAATAATGTAGAACATCTCTTCAGCATAGAGAATTTCTAATTCATATTTTTTTTCTTTTTTCATAAAAACAATGCCAATTTACAGGTAGATGGGGGAAATTAGCTCAAATGTTTGACTCTGACTCCGGACTTTCTCGATAGCTCGACTTCAACATATACTCAATTAAAATTTCCACCAAATTCCAGGAAGGGTATTAATATTAAGTATTTGTTAATTATACATTTCTTTTGCTTATGTACATTTAAAGTAAAATGCACTTTATTTAAAATTATATTTAGTATTACAATATTACAGTTTAAGAATTAAATTTCGAAAAATATATTTGTACAAAATATTGTACAAAGCCATTATTGGCGACCGAAATGGGCAACAGGTGACGTACAGCAGAACTCTCTACCTATGGTAACACTTCGCATGCTTTCACCATTAACGTGTAAAGAGCGATAGAAGAAGGAAATACATTGGTTTTTGCCTGAATTTTCAAACAGATTAAAAAATTTTAAGTTAGGAAACTATAAGGAACTAAAAATTACATTGAACATATTTAAAAAAAAAAGACATCATAAAGACTTTAAAAAATACTTTTCACAATTAAATACGAAAAATATTAAGAAAGGTGAAAATATCATAGAAAAGAGAAGGCGAGACAAAGGGGGAGGGTCATGACATGGAACCGGTCTTCTCCCCAGATGGCGTATTCGAGAGTTGCAATAGGCTTGTAAATACATATCTACGCATCTTATGACCAGAAATTGTTTAGTGAATATTTTTGAATTAGGAACCTAATAAAAATCAAAATCATTCGCATAATTTTTTTTAAAATTAACTTAGCTAAATAAATTTGGGTTTGAAATTGAGAAATTAAAATGTAACTTATTTCTACTTCATTTATTAATCTGGATTTTTAAATAGTACATGATGATTTTCAGTGTTTTTTTCTTTTCCTTCAATAAATTGGTTAAAATAGGCTAGAAAACACTCAAGTGCAATTAATTAAGTCGGTGATAAGTAATAATTTAAATAATTGTTATAATATTCATTCGAGTTTTATTTTTGTTTATATAATTATATACAGTTGTCTAAATAATTGTTATAAGATTGAAATCTTTTCTTTTCCTCTATTAATCTATTGGATCAAACTTAACAATCCGAAGTCGGGTAAACTTGTCCGACTCCTGCACTAAATTCCAAAGTCAAATAAGTATGTAGATTAAGTATTAAACTGGTCGTTTCAAATCTCAAATAATGGTTTCCAATAAATAAAAAAGAACGTTACTTTTTTCCCCTTTAATTTCGGCTTTAATGGCCACTTTCAAAATAAATATCTCAATTGTCTTTATAACGGCAAACTTTAACTTTTTCATTATAAGAAAATGAACTTGAAAATTGCAAATTTATTCTTCACGTTAGAGCTTTTCTGAATATTCTTCTAAACAATTAATTTTAAGAATTGTGTGAAACACTCGCAATCACAAAAACAGTAATGTAGGATATACTCCGCTAATTGAATATAATGGTCGTATTTGTTATATATATCAATTAATATACTCATTTAGAGATTATCCCTTAGTTTCTAATTGAGCTAAAATTCAAATCATGTAAAGGCCGTAACTACTTCGTGACAGTCGGGGCACCGCCCCGGGAACCACATATGAAGGGATCACATCGCATTCTTTTAAAATTATTATTATTTTTTTAAATAGGAAATTGTGTGAAGATGTATAGGTATCTACTGCATATCTACTGTGATTGCAAAAAATTTTCTTTTTTGCAATTGCATCTCTACTTTAACATAAAGGAAAGGGTAAAACGGCGAAAAGACTTTTTCCTAGAATATATCCTTCCCTCAAAAGAACAAACAAGCTTTACAGAAAGGGGGAAAGGCTGGAACTGCATGTATAGTTTGTCTAAAATAGGAACTCCTTCAGACATTCGTCTGAACCTGTGGCGGTGACTATGGTAACGAGGTATGACTATTTCAACTAGGGGTGCGGGGTCACTGTTTTGGAGTGGTTTCGACCCTGGTTGGCGAGAGAATTAGAAGCTTTTCCTCCAGTCTATTATGTTAGTCCTAGAGTGAAGCTACCCTCCTAAAATGCGCCATTCTTGTTTCCATAGCACTAGACGACCTCAGACTTTGTGGCGGGAGGAGTTCTTAGCTTAGACAAACTATAGTTGATTGTTAACACATTCTGTGTATTGCACTTGTGATGTAGTTGTTTTCTCTACTATCTTGTCAGATCCAGTGAGGGGCAGTTCAGGGGGCTGAGGGGTTACATGCCCCCTCGAAAATTTAAGTAAGGGGGCAAGAAACAAAATTTTTTTTTCCTATCTTAGAAGCTGTTTTTCTAATATAAAATTTTATTTTTTTCTCTAATTAAAGTGAGGAGGCAAAAATTTAATTTGCCCCTCCTGAAATTAAGACACACGCGAAAATAAAGTAAAGTAAAATTGGTAATTTTTAAAAAAAAGTTTTCAATT